ATCTCCTTAACAGGTTTCTCCTGGTTGAGCTTAATAGCCTTTCAAACATCACCAGAACCATGAATCTCTTGTATAAGTGCATAAAAAGTTTTTGCAAATGAATTCCAACAATGTCCCTGTGATTTTGAGGTTGAACCTCCGGCATTTTTGCATTACCAGACAGGGAAGATACCTCCAATAGGGTACTAGGGTAAGTACTGAACAAAAGACCCAACACATTTTCTGTTCTTCATCAACCAACATGTAATCACTAGAAGAGCATGGTTCATCTTTACCAACGATTTTACACCCACTATACACAACGTCACAACCTCCACCCATCACTGTTTCAGTGTGGTTGAAAAGACATGTTTTATGTTTAACAGAGGGACTAGAGGGATTTGGATTTGATAGTTGAGGGACAAGAATAGGAGTTTATCCAGTTTGTCATACTAAAAGTATTCTAGAGTTTATTATTGAAGTTTATCTACAACCTATGTGAAGCTGCAGAAAAGTAGACAAACATCAACTCAAAATAATTTCCAAAGAAGGCCACACGAATCAAAATAGGCAGATTCTTACCCATTCAAGTAGATTCTGAGAGCCTGGATCTTGGTTGAAGGTTGAATTTTTCTGGCCGCTGATCAGCTCCAACACCACAACACCAAAGCTGAACACGTCTGCCTTCACAGATAGGTGGCCATGCATGACATATTCTGGCGCCATATAACCACTGTTTAAAGTTAGCAGCAACTGAAATAAGATTCTAAATAATGACATCTAATCTAGTCTAGTCTAGTAGAGTAACTGAAAGACAAGGGTGTGATGTAGGCAAACCTTACCTTGCACAAAGCATGCCTGATGAGAAAGACAAGGGTGTGATGTAGGCAAACCTTACCTTGCATTTCTGCAACAGGTTGCTTTCAGAACTCTAACCCGTATGCTAAGGCTCTCCTTCTCTAGTAGAATAAGCCTCATTGCAATATCTTAGGGGGTGTTTCTATGTGGTGCTTATTATTGATAAGTAGTTTTTAACTTATAAGCTGCTTATTGAACTTTTTTTTGTAAAGTACTCCCTCCGTCCCCCATAGATCTTCCCATTAGCCCTTTTTATTTGTCCCGCATAGATCTTCTCATTACCTTTCTTAACATTTAAAATACCACAACTACCCCCACTTACTTTATTTATTACACCTTTCCCACCTTATTTAATACACCCCACCCATTTTCATTAAGGGTATTTTGGTAAACTTTCACCTTTTTTCAACTCTTCTTAAAAACCGCAAAAAGTCAAAACAAGAAGATCTTAGAGGGACGGAGGGAGTAACTTAAATGAGAGCAGAGTCATTCAGAGATATTCATAAAAGGTTATTGATAGTTCTGTTAATGATTTGGTCAAAATGAAGAAACCAATAAACTGGCTTAAGTATAAGTAGGTAAGACCTACTTATTTCTTTATTTATAAGCGGAGCTTATAAGCACATAGAAACACCTAATCAATTAACATAAGTGAAAAACAACTTATAAGTAGTTTTGACCAACTTATAAGTTCAGAGAAACACCCACTTAATGACATCACTTTCATATATATAGGTTTCATTGATACATACTTGGTGCCGGCCACACGAGTATTGACATGCGTTTGATCTTCGGGGAATAGTCGGGCCATTCCAAAATCCGCAATTTTCGGCATCCATTTATCATCAAGTAAGATGTTGCTCCCCTTAATGTCGCGGTGAATTATGCAATTATGTGAGTCTTCGTGAAGGTAAAGTAACCCTTTGGCTATGCCATTAATTACATCATGCCTTCTTTTCCAATCAAGTATATCTCTTTTACCATTCTCTGGATAACAAATATTCTAGTAAGTGAAAGCTTTACAAACACACGCACACGCGCACAAACACACAGACACACATACACACCCATTTTGAACAAGACATCAAGCACCATATCACCTCAGAATAATACATTATTTAATTTATAAGAAAATCAAATACGATTAAAAGAACCTAAAAGTTTAGTGTAGCACACAAATTAACGAATACAATGAAATTTTTAAAACTGAATTATATAAACATACGTACTGTCGTATTCAAAGAGAACATTAAATGGATGAAATATCTAATGACCATATCTGTATCCATATATAATCGAGAAATCAACAATTGGATATCATCTGCTTCAATGGATACAGATGCAGATGGTCCGAATTTGACTATGCATTTAGAGCCCTACTTGTAATAATGATATTTCTTGTACAATTGAGATCTTCACTTCTTTTAATTCAGCTTTCTCTCCAGTGCTTAATAAAGGTAATTACCAAGTTGAGACTAACGGCCACATATACTCGCCAAAATGAGTATCAGTAACTTAAAATCAAGTTTCGCTCGAATCTCTCTCACTAATTCCTTACATTGTCATCTCATAGAAACTCTCTCATGCTGTATATTAAAAAACAATGACATATACTTCCTCTATCCGGCTTTTGTGGTCCATTTCTGAAATATACCTAAACCTGGTTTCAAGACATTTTGAGAAAATAATATGCTTGTTAATTCATCAACTCTATAGCCATGCAATACTTCACAAAAAGAGGACTGGTAGTAACATGTGAGGAAGGGAAAAAACTTACTAAAGAGAATCTTGTCAAGGCTCTCGTTTGAAATAAACTCATAAACAAGCAATTTTTCTTCCCCCTGAGCACAATATCCCAGCAAATTCACCACATTTCTGTGTTGAACTCGTGCCAATACCTTCGCCTCAACCTGAAACTCTCTTTTCCCCTGCCTTGAGCTCCGTGACAGTTTTTTGACAGCTACTTCTCTCCCATCACGCAATATTCCCTACAAAGATCAAGACACCTTTTAGATTTCCTCTTTTCGATTACTATATATTCACAGGTTTTACACCCAAAAATCCCCAAAAAAGTGCCAATTAGTGAGAGAGATACTCCTTATAAGCCAAAGTTGATATTTTTCATTGTTTCTCAAAAGCCAAGAAAGAATGTTAAAATATTCAACTTTGGTTAAAGTTATTTGCCTTATAAACCGGGCCAAATCCACCCTCTCCAAGCTTGTTACTGGGATGAAAATCATTGGTTGCAGAAACAAGGGTTTCGAAAGTGAATTGCTTCTGCTCTTGTGCTGCAATTCTCTCCAAGTCATCTCGATTTGAACCTATTGATTTGTCAAAAAAGCACATAAGAACGAAGAAAAGGAAAGTGAAAAGGCTCAGTAAATCAAAGCATTTCAAGAAAACACTAAAACAGACTCAATTAAGCTCTAAAATAACTGATGGAGCAGGAAAATTACCTCTCTGGGAGCTAGAAAAAAAGGGTTTCATGATATTGTCAAGGAAGCTTTGAGATTTTTTCATGACAGTTGGAATGGAGAAATGACTTTTAGTTCATTTGAATGGTAAGATATCTTGAAATATTCGTTTCAGTTCTGAAAAACAAAAGGTGGGGGGGGGGGGGGGGGG